AACATGGACGTTGCTCAAAGTGTTCTGGTGAATCCTGTCCTATTTCTTCCAGTGTCACCCATCTTTCTGAGTGGAAATGGTCCCCTCTGGACAAGGCATGCAGTCAGAGCAGCAAATGGGCTGTCCTTCTCTAGCCCACTTTACAAATCCAGGAGGATAATTTTCCACACATTTGGACTGTCGCAGAGACTAAGCAGATAAATAAAGAATGCCAAAGAAAAATTGTTAGAATTCACAAGGGAAAGTGTGTCAATTGGTTACAATTAGCTTTCATGCATCTCTTCCACAGTCATTTCTTATATTCATATCAAATGCCTAAGATTCTCAAGATTCTTGCCTTACAACCTTTTGTAACTGGTTAGATATTTCATATTAACTAAGCGAAGCTCAGAAACCTCTTGGTTTATATTGACCTCCATTTTCCCTTGTGAATTCTAACCATTATTCTTTGGCATTCTTTATTTTTCTGCTTAGTCTCTGCAACAGTCCAAATGTGTGGAAAACTCTCCTCCTGGATTTGTAAAGTGGGCTAGAGAAGGACAGCCCTTTTGCGGCTATGACTGCATGCCTTGTCCAGAGGGGACCATTTCCACTCAGAAAGATGGGTGACACTGGAAGAAATAGGACAGGATTCACCAGAACACTTTGATCAATGTCCATGTTAAAGACACATCTAATCTTGATTATTTTGTTCTCCTTCTTTATTGTCAACATGCCCAATGTCTTGCTTGATGAAGAGAAGAGGCCATGTTAAAAAAAAAAAAAACAACAGCAGAAGAATTCCCTGAGTGTTGAAATACCTTTCTACAGCATCACTTTCTGGATATATCCTGACTGGAAGAATGGAAACCTCTGTAGAAGAGTGGCCTCAGGGATGTATCTGTTTGTGGGTGGTTTTTTTTTCCTGTTGTTTACTATCATTCCTTTTTCCAGTTATCTCTCTGCACATGGAGCACTGAAAAAAGACCTGATTCCCTAGAGAAGTTGCTTCTCAGTGTAATTTTCATTGCTGTCTTTTGAATCTCTTCAGCTACATCTTCAGTAGCTACCTTTGCTGTAAACATCAGACTGAAGCAACATGGGAGGATTTTGCATCAGAAACAGTTAAAAGCCTTAAATAGGGCTGAAGTGGTTTTCTGTTTGAATGAAGAGACCTGCTGGCATTTTCATCTTTGCTTTGTATTCTTTAATTCTTCTGGTTGTTCTTGTTTAGAAACGAGAAGGAGATAGATTCACAAACAGATACCAAGAATTATGGACCTCCTGCTTCTGTTTCTGCTGCTGCTGCTGTCCCAGCCAGTCTCTGGGAAGCTTAGATTGAAGTGCCCACTTAGGTTGGCACACCAGGATGGAAACAATCCAAAGAGCTATTACAGACCAGGAGATCATCTCATTAGTATTGTAATCTCTGAAACAAGAGCATCTCATATAATGTTTACCTTCAAGGAGGCTCCTTATCGTCAGTCAGTCTTGTAAGTCACTGAGTGTGATTTCCTCCATTTGCAGATCAAATATTGCCTTATTTTCTTCTTATTCCACTTACTCCTCTATTGCAGGACGTAATTTCTTGCATAATTTGGATTTCCATGGTTTCCTTCTTTTGTCTTATTTTGTGAAAGATACTCAGAACAAAAATTTGGAGCAGAAACAAACCCTGAAAGAAGTCTAAATTATTTTCTTCTTCCCATCCATCTGAGTTCATTATCTGGATACTTTTTGTTTAAAGTATTTGTTGAAATGGTTGTAGTCAACTCTCTCTAGCCCATTTCCACATTTTTATAAATGCTCATTGATATTCAATGCCTGATTCTTAAAAAGAATATAAATGCCCATTTGATTTTAGGGTTGGCTTCTTTGGTCACTTATGAAATAGCCTCTTCTTTTTTGTGTGGGGTGGGAAATAGAGGTGTCTAACTTAATGATTGAATCATTTTGAATCCTAATATTGAACAAATGAAAATCACTAGTATATATGTATATTTCCCCCCCTCCTCTCTCTCTCCTCTCTCTCTCTCAGTGTATGTTTGTGGATAGTGTGTCTGTGTACGTGTGTGTACAGCATGACTATTAAACCTGGTGGTACACTATCTCCACCCCATCCTCTTAAAACTCACACAAAATAATTGGTAATGGAGACAATCATTTATTTCTGATTTTAGTACAGTATGGACAGAAGCCACAGACATTGGGATATAAATAGGAGTTCATTAAAAAACAATATATTGCATTGCTCTTGAAGATAGTAATGAAAACATGAGGTTTTTTTTTTACCATAGTTTACCTTTTGGTCAGTCAAGAATGCTACACTTCATTTTCGCTATTCAAGTAGTCAATAACAATCATCAGATTCTGCACAATCTCACACTAGGCTATAATAGCCGTGACAACTATTTGAACACACTTGGCACTTCAGATGCCTTGTTGGACATGCTGTCAACTGGAGAAGCCAATGTTCCCAACTACAGCTGTGGAAAGAAGGACAACCTTTTGGTTTTTCTTGATGCAGCCTACAGGGACATCTCCATCCAGATGTCAACATCAATAGGCACCTACAAAGTCCCACAGGTTGGTTGTGTATGTCTCTATCTGATAAAATGAGTGAGGTGATGTGAGGTTTCCAACCATATCTTCTCTATGGAATTCAAGAACTGTTTTTCACAATGGCCATTGTAGGTGTCATGGCTAAGGATTGGGATCCGTAGTGGAAAAGGGGCAGGAATCAAAGCAGGCATATCCTCTAATGACAAAATTTAGTATTGCGTTAGGCACTTCTGGTGCATACTTCTTAAGATAGGGAGAGTCTCTGTGTCCAATTAAAAATCTCTTTTTCCCATAAGAAGAGGCAATAGAGATGGAAAA